CTACTCTTTTTTCTTCTCGCCTCTCTCTTGAGAACTTGTGTTCTTGCTCGCGGAGGGAGCAGAAGAAAAGGTCTCGGCCTCACGGTAACCCTCAAACCTCTGGTGCCCTGAATGCGTTCGCCTCAGCAAGAGTAGCAAGAAACAAATGGAAAACGCCTTCACGCATTCGGCCGACTCGGTCGTTGCTGGCCTCGGCGTAGACCCGGTGGCTGGCTTGACGGAGGACCAGGTCGTCGAGCAGAGATCCAAGCATGGCAAGAATGGTAAGAAACGCATTGGCCCTCCTCCGCAAGCAAGAGTCTGGCTAGCTCGCTTGCGCCGCCTCTCAGCGCAAGCGCAAAACAAGCAATTACCGCGTGGCCTGCTAACCAGAAGTTCCATGATACAGCCATCGCCGAGGAGCCGCCAACGCCACTATGGGAGCTCATCCTAGAGCAGTTCAAGGACCAGCTGGTCATTATCCTCCTGGGCTCGGCCGCCGTGTCATTCGTCCTTGCGCTTTTTGAAGAGGAGGAGGGCTGGAGCGCATTTGTCGATCCCGCCGTCGTAAGTGCCAACCTACATGCCCGGGGAACATATCTAGCAACAAGGCTCGCCGATGGGAAACATGGTGTTTCTGCGAATCATTTGCTAACAATGCGCCTGTCTCTCTATTTCAGATTCTCACCATCCTCATCCTCAACGCCGTCGTCGGAGTCTCGCAGGAGAGCAGCGCGGAAAAGGCGATTGCGGCCCTGCAGGAATATTCTGCCAACGAAGCCAATGTTGTGCGCAATGGCGGCCAGGTTTCGCGCGTCAAGGCCGAAGAGCTAGTCCCCGGTGACATCATTTCCGTCTCTGTCGGCGACCGTATCCCCGCCGACTGCCGCCTGCTGTCCATCCACAGCAACAGCTTCGCCGTTGACCAGGCCATCCTGACTGGAGAGAGCGAGAGCGTGGGCAAGGATGAATCCGCTGTGGTCGAGGATGAGCGCGCCGTCAAGCAGGATCAGGTCAACATGCTGTTCTCGGGCACCACCGTCGTGACCGGCCGCGCCAAGGCTGTCGTGGTCCTGACGGGCTCCAACACGGCCATCGGCGACATTCACGAGAGCATCTCGGCCCAGATTTCGGAGCCTACCCCGCTGAAGCAGAAGCTCAACGACTTTGGCGACCAGCTCGCCAAGGTTATCACCGTCATTTGCGTGCTCGTCTGGCTCATCAACATCCCTCACTTCAAGGATCCCAGCCACGGCAACTGGACCAAGGGTGCCATCTACTACCTCAAGATCGCCGTCTCGCTTGGTGTTGCAGCCATCCCCGAGGGCTTGGCCGTCGTCATCACCACCTGTCTCGCCTTGGGAACGCGTAAGATGGCCGCCAAGAACGCCGTTGTCCGGAGTTTGCCCTCGGTCGAGACTCTGGGCAGTTGCAGCGTCATCTGCTCCGACAAGACCGGAACATTGACCACCAACCAGATGAGCGTGAGCAAAATTGTCTACATCAAGGAGGACGGCTCGGATCTGGAGGAGCTGGATGTTGAAGGCACCACTTTTGCTCCCCGCGGCGACATCAGCCGCGGCGGAAAGGTTGCCCGTGATCTGCCCCAACAGTCTGCCACGGTCAGGCGCATGGCCGAGGTCGCCGCCCTTTGCAACGATGCCCGCATTGCCTACGATGCCCAGTCTGGCGCTTACTCCATAGTTGGTGAGCCCACCGAGGGAGCCCTTCGTGTTCTGGCTGAGAAGCTTGGTCCCTGCCCGCCCCAGGAATGCCACCCCGAGGATCGCGTTCATTACGCTAGCGCCTGGTACGAGAAGAACAACCAGCGTCTCGCCACCTATGAGTTCTCTCGCGACCGCAAGAGTATGTCTGTCCTGGTCAAGAACGGCGGCGACCCCCGGCTCCTGGTCAAGGGTGCGCCCGAGTCTATCCTGGAGCGTTGCACGCACACTCTTGTGGGCGCCGATGCCAAGAAGGTTCCGCTTGACAAGAAGCTGTCCGACCTGCTCTTCAAGGAGGTTGTCGACTACGGCAACCGTGGCCTCCGTATTATCGCTCTGGCGGCCATCGACGATGTCTCTGGCAACCCGCTGATCAACAAGGCCAAGTCTACATCCGAGTATTCGCAGCTGGAACAGAACATGACTCTCCTAGGTTTGGTTGCCATGCTCGACCCCCCGCGGCCCGAGGTCGCTGGCTCTATCAAGCAGTGCAAGGGCGCCGGCATCCGTGTCGTTGTTATCACCGGCGACAACCGCAACACGGCTGAGAGCATCTGCCGCCAGATTGGAGTGTTTGGAGAGTTCGAGGATCTCAAGGGCAAGAGCTACACCGGCAGGGAGTTTGACAACCTCAGCCAGAGCGAACAGCTCGAGGCCGCCAAGCACGCATCGCTGTTCTCCCGTGTCGAGCCGAGCCACAAGTCCAAGCTGGTTGATCTCCTGCAGTCCCTCGGCGAAGTCGTTGCCATGACTGGCGACGGTGTCAACGATGCTCCCGCCCTGAAGAAGGCCGATATTGGCGTTGCCATGGGGTCCGGTACCGATGTCTCGAAGCTGGCTGCCGACATGGTTCTCGCTGATGACAACTTTGCCACTATCGAGTCTGCCATCGAGGAAGGTCGCTCCATCTATAACAACACCCAGCAGTTCATCCGTTACCTCATCTCGTCCAACATCGGAGAGGTCGTGTCCATCTTCCTCACGGCGGCTCTTGGCATGCCCGAGGCCCTGATTCCCGTGCAGCTCCTCTGGGTCAACCTGGTCACCGACGGTCTTCCTGCCACGGCCCTGTCGTTCAACCCTCCGGACCACGACATCATGAGGCGTCAGCCCCGCAAGCGTGACGAGCCTCTGATCGGCGGCTGGCTGTTCTTCCGCTACCTGATCATCGGCACCTACGTCGGCCTGGCCACCGTGGCCGGCTACGCTTGGTGGTTCATGTACAACCCGGAGGGTCCTCAGATCACCTTCTCTCAGCTCTCCAACTTCCACCGCTGCTCATCGCAGTTCCCTGAGATCGGCTGCTCCATGTTCGCCAATGATATGGCCAAGTCGGCATCCACCGTCTCGCTGTCCATCCTAGTGGTTATCGAGATGTTCAACGCCATGAACGCGCTGTCTTCGAGCGAGTCGCTGCTCACCCTGCCTCTCTGGGAGAACATGATCCTTGTCTACGCCATTGCCCTGTCCATGGCGCTGCACTTTGCTCTGCTGTACACCCCGGTTCTGCAGGGCCTCTTCTCGATCCTTCCTCTCAACTGGCTCGAGTGGAAGGCGGTGCTATACATCAGCGCCCCAGTTATGTGCGTGCTCAGACTCCTACCTGCCTTCCCTTGTCCCCCATGCGCCGTGACGAGTTTTGCTAACAATCCATACACAGTTTCATTGACGAGGTCCTCAAGCTGGTCGAGCGCCAATTCTTCATGCAAAAGACAACGCGTGGCGTCAGTACTACCAAGAAGGAGCAGTAAGGATTGTATGCTCGTGGAGATCATGGTCTCGTGCTAGACTCATAGAAACTCTCGGCAGCATATTTAGAGCCCATTTAGCCACCTACCTCTTTGTACATAGATGGCCACGGGCAGGGGACCAACCCGATAAAAATAGATTTAGTGCGCATGGCGTAGCCGTCGCTGGATTTAATCTGACAACTCATTGAGACAACTCTGCCTGCCTGTCAACACGTTGAACTAGATAAAAACACGGACCAAAAACACACTGTGGATTTGTATGGGAAGTCCGTGTTTTTTGTTGTTGACGTACAACACGCCCGTCCTTACGCAATGTTCCTAGCGTCGGGCTGTTGCGTTATTCGATATTCATGGAGACCTCCTTATGCATGCGTGCTCGACCTAGAATATGCAAAAACAAGGGTACAACAACATCATTTCTAGTTGATGCCTGGTGTCTGTTGGTACAATGCAGTCATGTCAAGGGGGCCGGGCCGGGCGTAAATACCCAGTTCATGTAGCATGTTCTAGTTGCTCAGGTCTTTTTCACAAAAACCGGGCGGATAGTGCGCCTTTGTTCTGGATTCCTGCTCTGCTTCGGCGATATAATGGTACCGACATGGCATTGCCAGACACTATCCCAGATGCTCACGCCTGAACCATTACTTCTCTAGTCTTGGCGGCCCTTGAGTAATCTCTTGGTGACCTTGTCCTTCTCAATGATGTAAACGTGAGCACCCCATCCTGAGAGGGCATCACGGTCAACAGCGCTCAGCAGTGCCTGCGAGATGGTCTCAAACAGATCCTCGGGCTCCTGGATCACAGCGGGGGAAAATGTCAGTCAGAATGACATATGTACAGAAGGACAAAAATGAATGTCGAGAATGGACTAAGGCAATGACGTACCAGGTTGGGCTCCCACAGACTCTCGCACATGCCAAAAAGCTGCTCGCTGGCGGTGCCGCTGACGATGAAGTCCTTTGCGAAGTCGATGCAGCCGATGGAGTCGAAGCCGCAGATGAAGGGCTGCGAGGTTTTGGGGTCGAGGCCGGCGACGACGGGGCTGACAAAGTAGGGGCCGAAGCGGCGCTCGTAGAGGGAGCTCGAGACGAGGTTGGCGAAGGTGCGGGGCGCGATGTTGCGCTCCTCGCGCAGGCGGTACATGTTGACCTTGTAGCGGAACAGGTCCGAGACGGTCGAGACGTCGGTGGCCAGGCCCGTCAGGCCCAGGAACACGTCGCCGTACTGGAAGATCTTGGGGAAGTTGTTGGACACGGTCAGGGCCTGCATGCCCAGCCGGAGGTCGCAGGCGATGGCGACGCAGTCCTTGCCCACCATGGCGACCGCGGCACCGCCGTCTGTTTGTTTTTTTGCATCAGCGATAATTCCCATACGACGGCGGGAGTTTCGCCGTCCGTCCGGGGAGGCGGGCAACCAAAGGTCTAGATCATGGTGGCGCTTTCGAAACTGGTAGCTCTCCATCAGAGGCCGGACAGTGAGGGGAAGACTGACTTATTGAGAAAGGAGACGACTGTGAGTCCACATGTTAGCTCATGTGCGATGCCCAGGCGCAAGGCGTAGTAACGGAAAAAGATGCGGCGGGGCTTGTTACCATGACGGCGGTGATGAGCTCCCCTGGTGGAGGCGGTGGTTCACGGAGCTGCGATGGGCGGAGGCGGCGGGATTGAGGGCTCCGTTTGCGATATCGTCTGGATTATGTGCCTGTGCAGAGGCGTGGAGACTCTGGACAGTCCTCAAGGGTTGGGTGCCGGCTGAGAAACGTCTCGCTTGTGTGTTGAGAGAGCGGGAAGGCCGTGCCGTCGTTATCGTCGTCGGCGTCGATTCGTCGTTGGGGGTGCAGCCGTCTATTGCGGTAGCTCTGCTCCCAGCTGCGGGCACTACGGGGCGGGTGTGAGGAGCGCAAGGCAAACGCCTGGCTGGCGTGTCTGCCCCCCAGCTCCGCGAACCAGCTTCTCAGCTTCTAGTTGGCTGGGTGGGCCCAGATACCGCGACATGCCATTATGTGATCCGAGCTTTGGAGCTTCAGGCCAGTTGAGTGCGGCAGGCAACGGCGCCTTGCGCGGGCGGCCAAACCCCACCATCCTGCTGATTCCGGCTGCAGCTGTTGATTCGCACTCCGCGGCAGAGAAGGCTACCACCTTACATACAACGGGCTGATTTACGAAGCAAGCTTGGAGACTTCGAGAACCTACTACCTTTTGCATGGTATTGATTTCGTATTTGAAGCGAGCTACTTTCACCTCCAGATACCCAACATTCTTGCCAACCTCTCGCTTCCCAACCCGCCACCATGTCCATGAGCGTGGTGGTCATCTCGACCGACTTCAGACGTGCTCCCGTCAAGGTCAGCCCAGGCACCTTCTTGATCGATGTGCTGGAGGAAGCATGCAAGAAGCTTTCTATCTCGAGCGACAAGTACATGTTGAAGTGAGCTGCACACATACCCCGTCCTCTCTGCGCCTCGTATGCGACGAGGGGCGCTGACGGTGGGCTTGAACTGCTCCTCTGCAGACACAACAACAGGCAGCTGGAGCTCTCAAACCAGATCCGAGCCTACAACCTTACTCCTGGTGCCAAGCTGGAGCTTGTCGTCAAGTCCAACAGCCCGACCATCATCACCGTCGCCCTGAAACTCCCCGAATCCGAAGCCGCCGGCATTCCCAATGGCCGCCTGGTCGAGAAGTTCCGTAGTGACACCACGCTATGGAAGATGCTTAGGCACTTTGAGAGCGGAGCCTCCACATCTACCGCCGGTGCCCCTGCCCCCGGCCCAAAACGCCAGTTCAACTTCACCGCAAGGGCAATTCCACAAACCATGGGGGGCACCGGCTCAGGGCAGTTGTACCACGAGGGGCCTGTCCTGCTGGTGGTTGGCCGCGAGATATCATCGCTTGCCGACTTCCAAAAAACGCTTTCTCAGCTAGGAATCTCGGGGAACGTCTTGATGAACCTCTCTTTCAGACAGTCCGGCTTTACACTACACGAGGCCATGCAGCAGATCGAGCAGTTCTTTGCCGAACCTGAGGCAGCAGCAACGACAACATCCGCACCCCCGGCCCCTGCCGAGGAATCGACCTCTTCCGGATCGGCCCTGGAGCAGAATAATGCTGCTCAACAATCAAACCCGGACACATCAAAACCCACCGAGGATCTCATTGACTTTGGCGGCGATGCAGCCCCACAGCCAGCAGCGCCTGCGGCGGCGGGTTCTAGCACTGATAGTGCCCAGGATCACACCGGCCCCGGAAGGGCGGTGCAGATTTTTGCGGCGCCTTCATCTACTACTCCCGCGGCGGCGCTGACACAGGACTCGGATGCTGCTTACGAGCCAACAATCGCCCACGCACAGCTGCACCAGCAGCGGCTGCAAGCCAACTCGCACAACAAGCGCCTGCCCTCGGACAAGGAGATTGCCGAGAAGGCGGCCGCAGAGGCGGCCAAGATCGCAGCGGTCAGAGAGGTGAGTATCAAGGTGCGGTTCCCCGACAACACGTCGGCGCAGTGGACCTTTGGTCCTGAAGACGACGCTGCGGCAGTCTACGCCGAGGTGCGTTCCGTCATGGAAGACCCGTCGCAACCATTCAAATTGGTGAGCCCAGCCTCCAAGCGGGGTGATTTCAGGGATGCGCGGGGCCCAGGGCACAACCTCGTGCGCGACCACCGACTAGAGGGCCGCGTAGTGGCAACCGTTGTCTGGGCCGACAGCGTCCCCCAAGCCGTCCGCAAGACCCCTTTTCTCAGGGGGGAAGCGGCGAGACTTGCCCAACAGATACCAGTGCCGGCTGTGCCCGCCGACGCGCCGGACGAGGAGTTCAAGAATGCTGCGCCCGCATCAAAACCCACCAAGGGTGAGGGCGGGTCATCTTCGGGGGTGAAGATGCCGAAGTGGCTGAAGCTTCCTGGCAAGAAGTGAGATTTATCCCGTCCGGTGACGTCTCACTTCACGGAGGCATGAAACAGCGCCTCCCCGCCACGATGTTTTGTCTGTCTTTGTCTTGTTAGAGCAGTGTTGTTTAGCGTGGCTTCGCATCGGCGTTTTGCTTTCGGTTGTTCCCGTTGTTAGCATGGACCTAGGAGAAGATGTGAGCGCAGCCGTGTGACGGCGGACAGATACGAGCAATCCGGATGTCGTGGAAGCCGAGATAGTCCCCGTGTTTGGCCGCTGGATGTATAGTATATATGGATTCTCGTGGCCGACGTGACAGCCGTGTCTTTTACACATCTTTGCCATCACACCGACCAAGGCAGTTTCTGGACCACCTGCCTAGACACCATCCCAGGCCCCCATGGAATCGCGACATCAACACCATGGATCGATACGGCAGGTTGAGGAAGTCATGCATGTTTAAGGACGGCGTTCCACATGGACCAGACGGCGCTCTAATCGTGTGATTGCGACGGCGCTATCAAGATATAACCTGGCCTCGGTAGGAGCCTCTGCCAGGTATTGTACGACGGCACGCGCACTGCCTTGGTGACCTACATTCGGATCCCTCTGTGTGCACCGCTCAACAGCGTACGAAGCATGCGTATGCCTATTTCTGTCACCGCGAGCACGAGTTGTACCGATCTTGTTCTCGGCTGTTGTGTTTGCTTGGCTACCATGGACGCCGCCGAGGTTCTAGCAGGTATTCCTGCTTACTGAGCTCCATTGCTATCTCTCCTCACCGGGCCCCTTTCCCCGCTGGGCGTTGCGGATTCGCCACATACCGATCGGCAGTTAGCCACCAGGATTGGCCCGTATTTTTTGCTGCGTCATGTCGTTTTTGATCCGGCACTCGGATTCTTGCTGCCCGTGGACGTGCAGCGCAGTGTAATTAAGGGGTAGGGCAGCACGTCACAGCGAATGAGGGATCCAAGGCTCAGACAGGCTTTTTCTCGGTGCGATAATCCATTTGTGGGCTCTACCCGCTGTGCGGTTTATTTCAGCCTGCTGGGACATGCATACGACTGATGGAGAAAACAAACGAGACACGAAACAAAACATCCAGGGCACGCAGGGCCATCTCCCGTCGGCCAATCCGGGCAGGCGTCGGGAGTTGATGGTCACATGGTCCACGTGGGCGAGGGCGAAGCCGCATCCCTCGCATCTGTGCCTCATTGGGCTGGCCGTTGTTTATCTGCAACAGGGCGAAGATTACAGAAAGTTGGCAAAAATAAATGGCTGCCTCAGTGGCTGAGCGGTCCCAGGCGGCTTCTTGCATGTGCCGGGCGTGCAGTGTCCCACTGAAAAGCGGCAAGCGTCGCCAGCCACACGCAGGGAAGCGATCCCATCGCAGAGGGGCGAGGGACAGAGATGCTCCTGCCAAGGCGCCGCGTTTGCTGTTTCTGTCTACTACCGCCGATCCAGTCCTTTTAGTGGAATGGACGGGAGAGGCGTTTCGTCACGCATTGGCACAGTACAGCACAGGTTATTCGGGGCCTGTGGAATCGAACCTGCTGTAATGCTCCACCAGGTCCCCTCTCTTCCACAAACAGGCTCTTCTTGATGCTCTCGCTGTGACCAGTATCCGGGATATGAAGACCTGCCCGATCAGCAGGGGTGCATGATATAACTGCACAGGATTCCTCCAGCATCTCAGGCCATCGAGTCTCCTGCTTTACCCTCCATACCATCAAACTACCTCCTAGTTTGCTTTCCATCTCCAACATATACCATGCGCGGCCTACTCCTCTTGGCAACCTCCATCTGGACGGCGGCAGCCCTGCCTTCCTGGACGCCGCCGCCGCGAGTCCTGAGGCCGCGGCAAAGCGTCTGCCAGGACACCCCCAAGTCGGCCCACGTCGCCGACTTCGCCGCCTACTTCGCCTCTGACGGCGACGAGAACAAGACAACGATATCCTTTGGCTACTCGGACCCGGGTACGGGGATCTCGACCACCTGCCGGCGGGACCCCTCCCGGGCGCCCGTCTACCCGATCCCGGGCACGCTGGCGCGATATCCCTGCGACAACAGGCTGGTCGAGTTCTCGTGGATCGCCGAGAACTGGATGGGCAAGGACCAGCTGTCACTGATGGAGGCGTCGTGCCCACCCGCCAACGTCACGTAAGAGCACTCACACACACTTGACCTGTCCTGTGTGGGCACCATCCCTGCATTTTGACCCGGCGCCCCAGACTAATGTAGAACCAACCCATTTAGTGACCCCCAAGGACTCCGAGGGATCGAGGCCAGCGGACTGGCCTTCCTCAACATGACGTGCCTCGAGAGCCAAGGCAACGGCACGCGTGGACCCGGGCGGGAGTGCAGCTCTCCCGACCTGGACGTCAAGTTCTCTAGCCTTGCGCCACGGCCCTTCCCACTGGGGCGGATATAGAGATGGCGGGTTAGGTACCGTGCCTAAGGGATCCTCGTGGGGGCATCTCGCGACTTTTTACATGCTCTCTTGTCTCGGGATGTGGTGTAATAGACCTTGGTGGATGACTGATGGCAAAGAATGATGGTTCGCTCGGAACATGAGGAGACTAAATAGCCGACGATAGCCTTGCAGTAATGTCTATTTGACCTAATTCAAAAAAAAAAAAAAAAAAAAAAAAAAAGAAAGAAGAAAAAAGAAAAAAGAGCAATTGGAATGGATCTCGAGAAAATGCAATGTGATATGCCTTCGGATTCCCCTTCCAGGGCTGCCCCTGAAGCCCAAGCTGCGCGCCCATCGGCAACCCCACGTTTTACCGAGACCCCACTGAGGCTTCAGCAGACCAGCCCCTGCATCAGCTGCATTGGCGGAATCGGGCATCAGATCAAAGGGGAAGGTCACTTGACTGGTGAAGCCCCAGCCAGCCATATTCAGGCGGTTGGGGCTTGGCTTGCACGGCGACAACAAGGGAATGGATAATTTGTTGGGTTTTTTTTTTTCAATTCTCGTCGCCTGTCCTGCATTTTTATTTCACCCCTAATGTTTCGATCATTTCTCAGAATCTGCCAGACTAGACAGTGCATCCTGCTCCTCATCTTTCACACCAACACTTCACCGAACCGGATTAGGCGCACTCTGGGAACTGCTGTTGCCTGGGCGCCAGCCACAATGCATTGTTCAATCTTGTGAGCGAGAAATAAAAAAGCAAAGTTAGGGAAAGAAGAGAGAATCACTTGGGCCTCAACGGGAATACAATAATCGGCGACAGGTTGGCTTGCGAGAAGAAAAACGATGCGGGTCCTAGGCCAGTTGTCTTGTCTACTCTTGGCGGGCGGTGGTTGGATAGGAGCAGCGGCCCATGACATCACCGGCTCCGCGCAGCAACAGCAGCACGTCCTCCACGACGGAGGAGCCAGCAGAGGCCCCGTCGACGGGGCGTCGGGCGGCGGCGGCGGCGGCATACCAGAGTCGCTCTTCTCGGACCTAGAGCGCCTCGCGCGGCTGGTGGACATCGCCTACTGCGTCGGCACCACGGGCATCTCGCCGCCCTTCTCGTGCGCCTCGCGGTGCGGCGAGTTCCCGGGCATGCAGCTCGTCACCGCCTGGAACACGGGCGCCCTCCTAACGGACAGCTGCGGCTACGTCGCCGTCGACCGCACGGCCGAAGACGGCCACGGGCAGCAGCAGGCCGCCCCGGGCGCCATCGTCGTCGCGTTCCGCGGGACCTACAGCATCACAAACACCGTCATCGACCTTAGCACCGTGCCGCAGGAGTACGTGCCCTACCCGGAGAGCCCCGGTGACGGCGATGGTGACGGCGACGGCGATGGCGACGGCGACGGCGAGGAGGAGGAGGACGCGGCCTCGCCCCGCCGCGAGAAGTGCAGCAACTGCACCGTGCACATGGGCTTCCTCGCGTCGTGGCGCATGGCGCGCGGGCTCGTGCTGCCTGCGGTGCGCAAGGCCAAGCGCTTGCACCCAAACTACCCCGTCCGCCTGGTCGGCCACAGCCTCGGCGGGGCCGTGGCGGCGCTCGCGGCGCTGGAGCTGCGGCTGGTCGAAGGGTGGGACGACGTGGACGTGACGACATTCGGCGAGCCGCGCGTGGGCAACAAGGGCCTAGCCGACTTCATCGACAAGGTGTTTGGCCTGGGAGGAGGGGGCGGCCACGAACGGTACCGCCGCGTCACGCACGCCGGCGACCCCGTCCCGCTGCTGCCCCTCTCCGAGTGGGGCTACCGCGCGCACGCCGGCGAGATCTACATCGGCAAGCCAGCCCTGCCGCCCTACCCCGAGGACGTGCGCCTGTGCCGCGGCGCCCACGACCCGGCCTGCAGCGACCCCGCCGAGAGTTCCCGGTCCCCCTCGGGGGTCCTCGAGCGACTGGCCAGGGCCATCCGCGGCGAGGGGGAGGCCCGGGTGCCCACGCGCCTCAAGCTCTGGGAGCTGTTCTTCTCCCACCGGGACTACTTCTGGAGGCTGGGCCTCTGCGTTCCTGGAGGGGATCCTGCAGACTGGGGCCGTGATAGATATCGCTTCGAGCCTCCGTCTCGACAGGACGAGCTGTGAGGCGGCGGTGATGTCCCAAAAAGGAGAGACCGTGAAGAAATAGCACCTAATAAGTACTTAATACCTTGTCTACGTGGTCAAGCATCGAACGAAGATATCTTTTGCTTTCCTTCTTTGCCGCTTATCGTATTGTTCGGCGTTTTGTCAGCTTTCATACCCACAGAATGTACCTCCACCTCGAAACTACCAGCCTAGCCCTACCAGCACAACCGAGGCCCCAGTTCGGCGTCCTCCGATTTCAGGCCCAGGGTGATGGGCGGCAAGGCGAAATCCTCTGACGGCAGCGACGGGCCCAATCCGGTTGCATGAGATCTTCTCCCTTCCCCATTGCCTCTTTGCGAGCGAAACAAGGGGTCATCCCATCATTCGGGGTGAGGTGGGGACTCGTGGGGACAGGCGGCGTTGTGGTGCGTGGCGGGAGAAATAGCCGCCCCGCGTGACCCGTTCATGCCAACTCAGTCGGGGCAAGCCCCCGCCGACAGCTGGGAAATTAGCAAGAAGGCGTCGGGCGACGTCTGCTGCATCTGGTGATGATTATGATGGTGTGTGTGTGTGTGTGTGTGTGTGTGTGTGTGGGTGGGTGGGCGAGTCACTGGTGACTCCTGACGGCCTGAAAGATGAAGAAAAAAGACGCAGGCGGCGAGGGCGATGATGCCAACTCCCGGAGCCCAATCTGTCACAGCAGCCCATTCCCTATCTCCTGGCCGAGAAAGGGCAAGCAATGGAGGCATGGCGGGCAAGATGGGGTACACATATCTACGGGTATTGTGCATAAGGGTGGGCATTCTGGCGCATGGGTGACCCAGGGTTTTGGCGCATGGAGCGAGGCGGCTGCTGCATGCATTCCATCCCAGCCCGACAGGTCCTGACCCCCTACCTTCGATTCAGAAATGGAAATGAAGCAGCCCCGGCCAGGGCACATTGCTCAAGCCTTTTTTTTTCTCTTTTTTTTTCGTTTCAAGTGGCCCACGGCATCCGGCTCGCCACAGACCGCCGGTGGATGGCTGGCTGACCGGCCTGTCAAGCTGGAGGACAGGAGACGACAGGAGTGGAGGGGTGGCGGGCAATGCCGAGGAGCGGACGTTTGGCGGTGACTGTGCTGGGCACCTATACCTAAAGGGCTGGCGAACCACCCACCGACGAACTTGGGAGCGCGAAATTCCATGTTGCCGGGCAGGACAGGCGGTGGGAAGGGGGGCCGAATATGCACAAGCCAGCAGCCAGCAGCCAGCAATTTCGGATGTGAGCCCAGAGCACAGAGGGGCACCGCACGAAAAAGAGCATGGACCGGGGAAAGGGGCAGTGAAAGCCCGGCGATACGACGTAGAACCTCATGGAA